TAATATCGTGACATATATCCCTCCCGGTCTATGTGACACTGCAAATGACCGAGATCAGTTCGTATAAGAAATGTTGCTAAATTCAANATCCGTGTATTCATTTTCGTACTGATAAATGCACATCTCTTAATTGCGTTCATCCTAATATCGTGACATATATCCCTCCCGGTCTATGTGACATTGCAAATGACCGAAATCAGTTCGTATAAGAAGCGTTGCTAAATTGAGACGATCACGGGATTACGCTGAGGTGAGGTCACCCTCAGGTGGTGGTGGTGAAGTTGTGAATTCTTCTAGTATATCATCATGATCCTGCTGCATTTGGTCAAGTTGCCGTTCTCTTTCCCTCTCAGCTAGCAATAAAGCTAGCTTAGTGCAACGAAGTTTTCGTGGATCGAGTTTGATCAACTGCTCGATTGAAGTGATACCTGCAGGTTTTGATTGCATTTTGAGTATGTTTCGCATTCGAATTATAGTCGTCCCGATTTTCATCGTTCTAAATTTCGAAATTTTCTTGGTTTGATATTGGAGTATTATGATTGAGATTAGTATGGGCAGCGATTAAGTGTGCTATTAACTAATGTTATTACTTATACGATCGAGTAGTGGAGATTGCAAGTGCAATAACTCACTTGCGAGTAATTGCAAATCTTGTTGCATTTGCTTTATCATGCGTTCACATTTCTCGTAGTCTGCAATAGCTTTATCCAAGCCTTCTTTCCTCTCTTTCAGCTGAAATTAATCATGTTGAGGGCGATCGATTTATGCAAAATAATAGATTCAATCAACGATTCATTGCAGAGTTGATTCGACTTTGTACAGTTAGTCATAAACTTTTTGGGGGTGCACGAAGGAAGAGGTTGAGGATCACTGCTTCAGAAGGTGACCTGAAATGTGCTAACCTTATTTTTGATGGTCTGTAAGTCGACTCGTTGAGGCGCATCGCGACTGACGGCAATCCGGTCGGCTATATCGGATATAAGCTGCACACGCCTTTGGGGATCAACCTCGGTCCAAGCTTTGCGCAGTTTTTCACGGCGTTTTTTTATGGCGACAGAACGGAACTGAACGAATTGATGAGGTATTACAGTGAGTGAAATTTGTGGTGAGTGAGTGTAGAGGATGTTGATAACGAGTAATATTTGGTTTGATGAAGTCATTGAATATTTCAGATGCAATCGTTATCACCATCTTTCAATTCAAACGAGAAAATTCTTTGTGGATACTTCTCACAAATCAGAAGTTATTCTCCAAAAAACTTACGAATCGCTGTATAATGCAGGCTGCTTCGTTTAATTTAGCTTGATGTCGTTTTTGGACGATACTTTCGTATTCGGTGTTACTGTTTTGTTTGGTTGCATGTTGCTGTCGTTTTGAGAATTGCTCCTTCAAGAAAGTGTTCACGTCGTGTGCATTCATACGTGCTATTGTGTCGTACTTCATTTGCTCGTAAGCTTTCGAATTACGGACTGCTTCTAGTTTCTTCAGAATCTCATCGTTTGATTCCAATAAATCCTTGATTTTCTTTGTTTTGTCTCTTAAAGTGCATCTTATTCCGTGCATTATTCTATTCGCAAATAAAAACATATTTATGAATGCTGCAAATTCCAAAGAATACTGCAACGTATTTATGAATATTGCAAATTCTTCTAGCCCAGAAAATTCAGCGATTTCTCACAAAGGCGACATGTTCATAAGCTATATCTCCAGATTGGTCAGCAGCTTCTGAAGGAGGTTTCAAATTCCCGAAAAGTGGCATTTCAGAATGTCAAAAATTTAGAATTTTCGTAATTCAGCAAATGTGCGTAATGTCATAATTCACGATGTGTCTGCATTTATGTCGTACAAAACAATGTACATACCATGAATATCTATAGGTATCGCATGCAAATGACTGATATACAGGATACAATGACTCACCCGATTATCATGTC